CACATTGTCTTGCTCTGCAGTGCCCCGTCTCTGAGAGCGTATCGCTTATGCAAAGAAGCCAGCCCTGTGTGCCAGTAAAACAAATAGAGCTGATACAGAAGAGAGGATTGTTTGCATGCACAGCACTAACGAGTGCTCTGTTTTGTTCAGCACCGCTCCTTACTGCCTGATACAAATGGTCTTTAACAGAAGTATCAATGCAGACTCCAAAGTGAGACTTAATTGCGCTCAGGAGAATATGCATACAGAGTTGCTAGCATCACTCACATGATTTTTATATTCTTCTCTAGTGTACTCCTTAACCCATTTTTGTGTTGGTTTTGTCTTACTTGTAGGTCTGTGATTCAGATACCATGCTTGATCCAGCCTCATCAGTGGAGATGGTAAAGGTTTTAGAAGAAGATCCAATGGTTGGAGGAGTTGGAGGTGATGTGCAGGTCAGTATGATGATTTTCATATTAACAGAAGGATTTCAGCAACTATTGGCACTGTAACAGATTTCCCTGACTGGAATAGTTTTGAATGTATTGTCGTACCATTACAGAGGCTCTTATGAGCCTTAATCGTTCTGTTTGTTGAACAGAAACCCTTATTCTGAGATATGAGCACTGTATGGTTTTAAGACCCATAGAAGGGAAATAAAAATTATTCTCCCTCGTATACATGAAAAGTGGGGCACTGACATTGTCAGGATTGTTGTGGCATCTTTGAGTCTCTGGATATAACTGCTTGCTTAGGGTACCAAAGAAAAGCTATAGGGGAGCAGGGAATTGAGAACAGGTCTCCCAAAGCTAAGTCCAGCACCCCAAGCACTTCAATTATGTTACCACTGGCAGCCAAGATTGTTAGGAATAAAAGCCTTTTTGAAATGCAGTGCACTATAGACTCTGTGTATTGTTGGGCTTCCTCTGCATCTCTGTCAGGCAGGACAATGGAAAGCCCCCAAGTCAGCCCAGCTCCACTTTTGTGAGGGTTTCCAGCATTGCTGAGTTTGGCTGACAACTACAGCAAAAGGCTGTTCATTCCATTTCATACAATTGCTTCTGCCGCAATTTATAAAGAAAAATGCATATGAATATTTCAATTGGCCTTGTGATCGGTTCCCCATACTCAGCTGGGCTTTTATGTGAGACAGAGGAGAAAGGGCCACCTATATGGGTGAGCACTTATTAATGAACGCCCCAGTAGTCAGAAGTATTTCAGGCATGTGGCTCTAAACTCCAGAAATTAAGATTCGCACAGAAGCCTGAATATCTTTGCTGCTCTGGGCTGACCACGAACCAGGCGTCACGCTCACCCTACACACGCGAGACGCCAGGCACGTGTGAGTACCACTGGAAGCAGATGGTATGGGCTCAGCTATGACAGTGAAGTATCATAAGTATCTGGAGAGAGAGAGAAGGACATATGTCCTCTGGAAGGAAAGTGGCAGAATGAAGGCTCTTGCCTTTTTTTTTTCCTAATTCACTTTCCAGCATACACCAAATACATCTGAGCCAGGCTTGAGCCTATCCCTGAGCCCTGCTGCTTCTAAAGTGTTCTGGAATTAAGTTGAAACAGAGACAAGTTGGGCTCTTGGTTTTCAAACCTGACAGAAATTAGGGCCATTGGAGAAAACCACTATTTTTTACTAGTTGCAGAATACTGCTTTGTAGATGTAGAAGGCCACAGGTTCCCCTGAAAATCCCCACACTGAAAAGATACAGATGCAAAGCTGCCACAGCCACCCTGCTACGCACTTCCTTGCCATATTCACCAGCACAAGATGTGTGCTGAGAACATGGATGTGAAGACATGAGCTTGGGCGTCTGCAGGTGCTCATGCCTCCATTGAGTGTTCAGACTCCTAGACTATGCCTATGCTGCATTTTAAGTGTAGGCTTGAGCTTCAGGTGAGCTTTGGGACATACAGAAGAGAAAGACTTAGACATTTATGCAGGCTAAAGCATGGCTCTATTGGAGTATCACAATATGTTTTGGGGCAACATAACACAGCTGGTACTGCAGAGACAAATCAGAACAGGTCGTTCTTCAGAGGGCCTAATGTCAGATATGGGGACATGGTCCAGGGTCAAACCTCTAGGGCAAGCCTTATGATACCGAAAATGTAGGCCGAAGACCATATGCTCAGCCTTTATCATACTCTGGAATAGCTTTAGGAGGGCTGGAAGAAGTCCTGTGAGTCTCAAAGATGTGGTCAGGGGGGAGAAAGAAATAAGAGGTTACATCTGGGACTCCACCATCTCCTCTCGAGACAGGCTGGGACCAGCAGGTCTTTAACTGGGGGTGAAGGGAAAGGAAGAATGAGCCAGAAAAGAAGGCTCTTGGTGGAGAAGAGGAAAGGTTGCAAGGAAAAAGAGAACATTTCAGTGGAACAGACTTTTGAAGGCTTAATCTCGCCCTTCCTGTCAATGTCCTGGACTGTACAGGTAATTCCTGGATTTGTCATGAGTTGGACACAGGAGCTAGGTTCCCCCTGTATTTCAGCTAATAGTGATCTAGTCTCTGCAAATTCCTTATTTATCCAATGTGTGTATTTGCTTTCTCAAGAGTTTATCTGAAATGAAAACTTTTTGTATTTTGCAGATTTTGAACAAATACGATTCCTGGATATCTTTTCTGAGCAGCGTGAGATACTGGATGGCATTTAACATAGAAAGAGCCTGTCAGTCCTATTTCGGCTGTGTACAGTGCATCAGCGGACCTCTGGGAATGTACAGAAACTCTTTACTCCATGAATTCGTAGAAGACTGGTACAATCAAGAATTTATGGGCTCCCAGTGCAGCTTCGGCGATGACAGGCATCTAACTAACAGAGTGCTAAGTCTGGGCTATGCAACAAAATACACAGCTAGATCCAAGTGCCTTACCGAAACACCGATAGAGTATCTCAGGTGGCTGAATCAGCAGACCCGCTGGAGTAAATCGTACTTTAGAGAGTGGCTTTATAACGCGATGTGGTTCCACAAGCACCATTTGTGGATGACCTATGAAGCTGTAATCACTGGATTCTTTCCTTTCTTCCTTATTGCCACAGTCATTCAGCTCTTCTACAGGGGAAAAATCTGGAACATCCTCCTCTTCTTGTTGACAGTTCAGTTAGTGGGCCTGATAAAGTCTTCCTTTGCCAGCTTCCTTAGGGGCAACATTGTCATGGTTTTCATGTCACTCTACTCAGTGTTGTACATGTCAAGTTTACTGCCAGCAAAGATGTTTGCGATTGCCACGATAAACAAAGCAGGGTGGGGCACGTCAGGAAGAAAAACCATTGTAGTTAATTTTATAGGACTCATTCCAGTCTCCATTTGGTTTACAATCCTCCTAGGTGGCGTAATTTTCACTATCTACAAGGAATCAAAAAAGCCATTTTCTGAGTCAAAACAGACAGTTCTCATCATTGGCACAATACTCTATGCATGTTACTGGGTTATGCTTTTGACTTTGTACTTGGTTCTTATCACCAAATGTGGCAGGCGGAAGAAAGAGCAACACTATGACATGGTGCTAGACGTATGATGTTTCTGTGGGAAGTTACCCAGAGAGTTGTAAAGCAACCCAAGGACCTTGTAGTATCTGTGGCATCAGACAAATGTTGCCAAGGGAAATGGATCATTGCTGCTGGGAATAGGACATTTATATTCCTCTGGGTTCATTTTCATCCTGCCAAAGTAAGAAAAAAAAAAACAATAAAAAATGATTTTTTTTTTCCAAGGGGGAGAGAACACAAACCACACATTTTCGACCTGTTCGCAAGAAAATGGGAGAACTTCTATGTTTATGCACTTTTTTATTGTGCATATGCCTGACAGTGTTATGTTTTATATACCTCACTGGTCATGCTTATGTGTGTGGACAGGAAGGAAAGGAGTTTGGAGAATCGAGAAAAGGATCTTACAACCCCTTGCAACCTAATTTATGAACTTCTCTTTTTTATAGTTGTGTTTATAGGAAGGGTCTTTTGTGTTAGGCTGCCAAATGTAATGCCAAAGGTAAATTTTAAGAGGCCATTGGCTGAGCTGTATTTTTATATTATTGTATTATTTGTGTGTGTGTATTTTTAAGCCAACTTTTTTTTTAAATCACTTATTTTATATTTTACTATCTGCCAAAAAAAGCTGCCTCCCCAACACTTTGTTCTTTAGCCTTTTTTAATACATTTAGGGAAAAAATCATACTTCCAAAATTTGTGCTGAATTGATTTTGTTCACAACAGAAAGAATAAAAGGTCTCTCTTCATTTTTGCAACTGATCAGTGGTTGTTTCTGTGAAAAAGCATTTAAATGTGCTCTTTGAAGATATTTATTAGGAATGGCCCAACATTGTCAGTTTTTGAAAACAAGCATACTTGTGCATAAAAAAAAAAAGGCCAAAGGGGTAGATATGTGCAATTTGGGGTTTTGTTTTGGATAACATTGTAAAGGGAAATTTGTTTCTCTGCTGAGAGCATCATATCCGTGGCATAAGCAACAGCCATAAGGTGAGGCAGGCCTCAATGCCATTGGAGAAGACATTGCTGTAGGAAAGCTCCCACTGGTTTTACAAGGGATTTGAGGAGTCAAAATCCTCTGATCTGGAGAAATATTGGACACCCAAAATTAGTATTGATTTCACTGATGATCATAGCTGTTCATAATCTGCTAGTACCAAGCAGACAGTTCAGATTTTTGAGTTAAAAAAGAAATACATGGAAGGAAAATTTATCAATACTTCCATAATGTGGGTGTCTTACTATAAAACTTCTGCAGTGCCCTTCACAGAGTTTACAGAAAATACAAACATCAGTTTCTGTGATATCCAGTGTAATACAGCCCCCAGTACTGAGCCCAATAATTTGTATTTGACTAAAGCATATCTACCAGAAAATAAGCCGATTTTTTTATCAGAAAACATCAAGTCTTAGCAAATCCATCACTTCCTTGGTGCCTAATAATCGGTCTTGGACATTTATTTTGGACCGTGGTTTTGCAAAATAATATTCAGGACTAAATTCTGCAATCCTTCACCAGCCAAAGGAATGTGGCATTGAGCCCTAATATACTTTATAAAGAGCAACAGAAAGCCAGCTGCATACAGATATATGCCCTTTTTAGTTTCTGGTATTAAAAGCACTGTGGTAAAGCAGAAATCAGCATATGATGCTTAAAGAACTTAGAAGCATTTTCAGCTTCTCTTTTTTTTATGCAGACATGAATAGATTCTGCTGTAGAATGAACTGCACACACACTACCTTATTTGTCTGATTATCTTGAGGTACATGATTGCTTGAAAGTCATACTAATATTATGTTAATGATTGGAGAGTTGATTCATGTTGATTACAAAATAGAACAGTATTAAAAAAAAAGCAAAAGAAACAGTAAAAATAATAAAAAAAACTTGACTATGCCTTTTAACTATTTATGATGTAAGTTAAAGCTTGGGTTAACATTCAAATGTCAAATAAATCCTCTCATTCTATAAAAAGATTGAATAAATTGCCTGTATTTATTCTAGCAATTATTCAATGTACGTCCAGTATAGGTTGTATAGTATAATTGTTACTTTCACAAATAAAATATTTTTGATAAGATTATGACTAATTCATGGTATTTCTGATCAGCACTTCTGCTTTGAAGCCATAAATCTGGACGGATTGAAGGACGTTGTTATACTGTCCTCAGCCTGATTTCAGAGTAGGAATTTGCCACTGCGTAGCAGAGCACCCGGAGGAGGCAGGGACTGGTCCCTGCTCTGAGAGGCAGCACAGGAATCAGGAACCACATGTCCCCTGGGCGCTGGTCCCTGATGGCACCGTATGTGGGTAGCTCTTGGTGTCTCTGCCTGCTTCTGCCAGCAGCTGCTAGATGAATTTGGACAAAACACTTCCTTCCCTTTTTCCTCTGCTTCCTGATTTATAAAACAGGAATAGCAATCCAACCTCCTTTTGGGAAGGTCTTTGAAGTTTATGGCCAAAGTACTTTACATGAGAGCTGATATTTTCCATCCCTCCTTCCCTCCTGTCCACTGGAAGTTGCTACCCTAGGGAAGCAGAGAACGTGTATATGACCTTCTCTACTGCTCCTCGTTACCGCTATTTCCCAAGCCCGCTTTGCCCTAGCGTGGCTGAAGAGCATATAGGTATTTTCTATCACTAAGGGTTATGGGCAGCAGCCACTGGTAGAGGGATAGAGTGAGCAGGGGGCAAAGTGACATCTCACACATCTCTCTGACCATGACAGTCTTGTCACAGGTCCATTACTTCTCAGCACCTGTTACCCTCTGTCTCGATACTGTGCCCAGTTTTGGGTCCCCCGGTACAAAAAACTGGAGCAAGTTCAGCGTAGGGCCAGAGTGATGGTTTGGGCTGGAGCAGAGGGGCTGAAAGAGCTGGGCCAGTCTGCTTGGAGGAGATAGCTTTGAGGGGAGGACAGCTAAAATCACCTCCTATAGGGAGGTCATCAAGAAGACAGTGGGAAGATGAAAGACTCCAGGTTTAATCTGAAAGGGGAGAGGTTCAGACTGAGTATAAATAGGGACTTCTTCCCCAGGAGGAGAGTCAGGCACTGAAGCAGGTTCCCAGGAGAGACAGTGCAGGCACCATCCTGGGAGGGTTTCAATAGTATTCCAGATGAGGTCCTGAGGCGCCTGGTCTGACCTCAGAGCTGCCCCTAGTTTGAGCAGGAGGTTGGGCTAGAGACCTCCAAGGCCCCTTTCAACACGAATTCTCCTGTCATCCTTTCTGAAGCAGGTGCTGACAGTCCACTTCCTAACGACACCTCCCACCCGCACGGAAGCTCATTCCCATCTCTGTTCCGCACATCCGCCATGAACCCGGGCACAAATAGGTCGTCAGCAGCTGGTACTGAGTACCCAGAAAAATCAGAGCCCTTTCTGTGATTCTGTGTCCCCACCGTGTTAAAGGCTGTATAAAAAAAAAAAAAAAAAAAAAAAAAATGGTTTCAGCAAAAGGTTTCAGCAGAAAACAAGACTACAAAACAGTTCTTAATGAAAGTGTTCTTAGACACACTCAATTCTTCAATAACATTTCCTCTGCTCATTTTCATCTCAATATTATGTCTTTGTATTTCCAGCAACTTTTGGTTCTTGGAAAAAAATAAAACATTTTTTTCATTAATAGCAAATGTAATTGCAAGATATCTGTCAAAAGAACAAAACATTTTAAAAGAAAAATTCATGCTCTGGTTTAAACTTTTTAAAAACACAAATATTTTTCAGCCATGGCTGATAGACAGATGGTGCTGAACACTGTAAGAAACTCCCACAAACTATCAATTCTACAGAAAGGTTAAAAGAAAATCTTTAAAAAAATGCAATGAATTGGCAATATCTCAGGTTATAACCCATTTCCAGGGTGGAGTAACTTGGGTTTGAGAGTATCTGTTTGCAAAGACCAGGTGTGAAGCAAAACCTGCAGGAATCAGAGGTGCAGCAGGGAGGAAGGAGCCCTCCTGTTCTCTCTGCTAACAAGCTTTGCTTTGGCCAAGAATCAGGTTTCTTTCAATGGGAAATGCATGAATATTTAACAGAAGTTTTTGAGGAGGTGGAAAAAATCCTGTCAGACATGTACTGCCAAACATGTCCCGATGCACAAGCTGTTGTGAATCTGTCTTAAAAAACTTGGTCTGAATTTTATTCTTAGCAAGAGATAAGATGGTAAAGAGGAGACAAAATATACTGAAAGCTGTTGATGAGGTTTAGTATAACTGACGCTTTATTGGAAATGCCACTTTTCTCTGGAGTTAACACAATTAACTTAAACATAGTGCATTTTTTTTCCCAGCTTTCACTTGCCCTAAGTTTACTGCTTCAGTTTCAGATCGGATGGATGGACGAGTGCCCCAAATTGTTGCTGCTTCTGCCAGCTATGGTATGTTGTATAATAAGGGATTCTGTCTCTCCCAAAGAAAACCAACTTGAGTTTTCTTCTAGAATAGCCCTAAAATTTCTTTAAGTTACCATGATTGCACAGAGGAAAATCATAGAATCATCATAGAATCACAGAATGGTTTAGGTTGGAAAGGACCTTGAAGATCATCGAGTTCCAACCTCCCTGCCATGGGCAGGGACACCTCCCACTGGACCAGGTTGCCCAGGGCCATGTCCAGCCCATGTCATCTCCTTGAACACGTCCAGAGATGGGGACTCAACAACCTCTCTGGGCAACCTGTTCCAGTGACTTACAACTCTCAAAGTGAAAAACTTCTTCCTAATGTTTAATCTAAACCTGCCCTCTTCCAGTTTAAAGCCATTCCCCCTCGTCCTGTCACTACATGCCCTAGTAAAAAGTCCTTCCCCAGCTCTCCTGTAGGCCCCCTTTAGGTACTGGAAGGTCGCAATAAGATCTCCCTGGAGCCTTCTCTTCTCCAGGCTGAACAGCCCCAACTCTCTCAGCCTCTCCTCATAGGAGAGGTGCTCCAGCCCTCGGATCATCCTCGTGGCTCTCCTCTGGACACGCTCCAGTAGGTCCATGTCCTTCTTATGTTGAGGACTCCAGAGCTGGCTGCAGTACTCCAGGTGGGGTCTCACGAGAGGGGAGTAGAGGGGCAGAATCAACTCCCTTGACCTGAATGGTCCTGTAGTTACATCTACACGAAATAAATGAAGGACCCAGGCCATGTGTCTGAGCTTTGGTAGATGATAATACTCTGTACTGTTCAAGTATAAACATGGTCCGTGGCATGTTTTTGCCATGGGCCAGATAGTTGTGCCCCAAAAAATGTTGGACACAGGTAGGAGAAATGCATGGAGCAGGAACCAGACTGTGTTGGGGGACTGTAAACATTAGGTGTGATTTCTGTCATCAGCTGTTCTCAAGATTGAAGAACAGTCCCTGCCTTTTTTTTTTTTTTTTTTTTAACTAGATTAGACATAAACTATCAATACCCCACTGGGGAGAGCAATGCGTGGTCAGCTCACCCCTTATGGGACATCATGCACATGGGATCTTACTCTCAAGAAATCAGTAGATATCATTAGTTCTGCAGCTCTTGAAAACATCTGGAATTTAAGATTATCAGTCACGTAACTAGGCATTAGAGAACCCACACAAAGAGCATGCACAGGAGTGACAGCTAGCAAGAGAATCACACCTCTGCCCAAATAATT